AATGCAAGGCAATAAGTACGTGATATAATGTATGATTATGAAGAGCTTCGCTTATGGGGCATATGCAGCAACGGTGGGGTCACTTTCTTGCACAGCACAGAATGCTTCATTCCCGTCGTCAAAGTAATTAAAGGTGACCAACCTTCGTAAGAAAACATTAAAAAAAAACGAAGAATGCATATTTTATATCTACCTCCACGTACAATGAGCTTGTCATCACAAAGCGAGAAATAAAGTAGAAAAGGGAAAATGAGTATGGAAAAAAAACTTTCAAACTATATCATCTTCTGATGGAGCGTGAAAGAAGTCATACCGTTATTCTACTGCTGTTGCCGATGAGAGAAATGAGCAGAAGAGCTGAGAATAATACAGCAAAGAGGAGAAATGATAAAGAACATTAAACAGACTGGATTGGGGGTTGCCACCGGAATTAGGTAGCAGGCACATCGGAACTTGGCGAAGTAGACACGCCATAGTAAAAACCAGTCTAAAACCGAACTCTTATAAACAGCAACAAAGCGAAATTCACTGAATATTCGACATACCTTTTTATGAAGTAGCGGCCACTTGTGGAAGGACTTCGGAATGATCGCTCTTTACGGAAATCGCGTCCCCTCCTTGACGAGCTGCTTCAACAACAGGATAGAAATAGGGATGTGCCATAGCTTCACGAGCTGTTAAACGTTCCTAAACTAAAGACTGTCGAAAACCAGCGTGCCTCCAATCAATCCTATCAACCTCATACCTGATGATCATAGCGAAGTAATTTGTCGAGGAAATCGATGGCTTCAGGTGTCACAAGATGTTGGTTTTCCGCGTGGATAAATCTAAAATAGGCTTTGAGAAAAGAAAGAATGATTGAAATTAGAGGACCTCTCCCAACGTTTCCGTGAATGCCGACCAAGGATATCATTGAATCTTGGATCAAGTTCTATGTGATACTTGTCAATGTACTCATGCAACTCTTCTGTACCCAGCACTTTTGCAATGCGTACCAGCTGAATGATTATTCCATTTGTAAATAAAACTAGAGATCACTTTTACGCCAGAATTATAACTAAGCAAGCAGCCTCAAAAATACAGATTGAGCGGGTAAAAGTATACCTGATCATAATTGTCGTGCCCGTGGAAGAAGGGTTCTTTACGGAA